ATGGTGATGCTGTTTTTGATTAAAATGTTCAATTTTGGTCTCATCTGACCACAGCACCTTCGTCCAGCAATAATTTCAATGACCTCTGGCAAATTGCAAGCATTTGCTTCTGTGTCATGGGGTCAGAAGAGGCTTTCTTCTCAAAGCCCTTCTAAAGAGGCTGAGCTGATGGAGGTGGCGGCTGATGGTGATGTTTGAAACCCTGTGACCCCAAGACTCCATCAAGACCTGAAATTCTTTCACAGCGACTCTTGGGATTTTTTTTTTGCTCTCCTTACCACTGCCTTTCTATTCTGGAGGGCAAAATGCATTTGCATCTTCTGCCTGTCAGATTTTCAAAGGTTCCAAACTCTATACATTTCTGAGTAATTGCTGCCCCAGTGCTCAGTGGTATATTTAATCTTTTGTTGATTTTCTTGTAGCCATTACCAGATTTATGAATGTGTACGACCATCTGCCTCTTCTGAACTGCCAGTTCTTTTGTTTTCTTCATGGTGCTGGATGACAAAGGGATTCTGGATCATTTTTATACCCTAGTGAAAGAGGAAGTGATATAATGACATAAAAAGTTCCTTAGAAGTTAAATGAACTTAAATCAAGTGAATTCATTCCTGGTTTAAATTTGGTAGATTTCATTTACAATAATCTCTAGGGGACCCATTCATTATGAAACCTTTATTTGGAAAACTGATTTTTAATGAAATGAATAAATAATTTTGGTGGGTTCCTTGATATTTCTTGAATCTTGGCAGTTGGGTTTATCTCTATAATTTGATCTTTTTTTAAAATACTATTTTAGTGCATTCCCAGTCACAGGGCACCAGTAATCCTGTATATACTGCAAATGAGCTATGCACTGGTGACTGGGCTATGCAGCTGTTCCATATATATAGTGACAGTGCTACGTAAAAGGTTGGGCACCCCTCTGAGGTTGCATGATAATCTGCTTTGTCTTCCTAAGAGAAAATCACAGCAATATGCCATTTTTGTTCTACAGAAATGTAGACAAGGGAAGGTTTATCAGACCAAAACTCTCACTGTAGAATTTTTGAGTTGTATGAAATTAAATAAAATGGGATGTGCGAAAGTTTGAGCATTAATTGCATTAAAGACCTGTAGTCATTCAGTGCTGACAGGTTGCATCACAAAATTGCTTTGATTAGCTCATTAGACCTTAAACTATAAAGACAGATCCAAGCAATCATGAAAACAGTTATTTAACATAGGTGATTGCTAGTTGTGCTTATCCTTGGTTCTCTCTTAGAGAGCGGCTACACGGGAACCTCTAAAGAACTGTATACTGACCTCAAAACCAAGATAATTTGTCATTATGAATTAGGAGCAGGGTTCAAGAAATGATCACAAAGGTTTGGATTGTCTGTTTCCTCAGTCAGAAATGTAGTTAGGAAACGAAAGGCCAGAGTAACAGTCCTTGTGAAGGAAAGACAAATATCTGAAAGGCACAGAATGGTCACAGACAAGCCACAGACCAAAGGGCTACAACAACATCTGGCTGATGATTGTACATCATTCCACAGTCCAGTGCACTTTGCACGGGAACAGCTCGGTGGAAGGGTGATGCACAAAAAGCCTTTTCTGATTACTCACCACCAGAAGAGTCACATGAGGTATGCAAAAGCGCATCTGGACAAGCCAGAAACAGATTGGAAAAAAATACTGGGGAGAGATGAGACTAAGATAGAGTTACTTGGTCACAACCAGAGGTGCTATGCATGGTGGGGAAAAAGCGCACGGCATTCCAGGAGAAGAACTTGGTGCCTACTGCAAAATTTGGTGCAGGGTCCATCACGTTATGGGGCTGTGTGGGCAGCACAGGTGCTAGAAACCTTGGTAAAGTTAGAGTCAGTCGCAAAGTTATGGCAGGGTTGGATGTTTCAGTAGGACAATGATCCAATGCACCAAGAATTCACACCGAGGCGCAAGTAGAATGTTCTAGAATGGCCACCCCAGTCCCTAGGCCTGGACATCATTGAAAATGCATGAATTGATTTGAAGCAGGCTGTCCACACTCTGAAGCTATCAAACCTGACTGAACTGGAGGCATTTTGTATGGAAGAATGGTTCAAAATACCCTCAGCCAGAATTCAGGGACTTGTCAGTGGCTATAGGAGGCGTCTACAGGCCGTTATTTCAGCAAAAGGAGGCGCTACTAAATATTGATGTGATTATTCCTTTGGGGCGCCCAAATTTATGCACCTGCCTATTTTTGTTTGAATGCACATTCAATTGGTTCTGTTGGTCCAATAAAAAAACATTTCACCACTGAAGTGTTGCTGTTTCTATAAGGTATAAAATATATCCTTGGTTGCTGCATAAAAAGCTTAGCAAGTTATAAAATGATAGTGATTTTTATCAGAGAAGTCCAAATTTTTACATTGCACTGTGTGTGTGTGTGTTTGTGTATATACAATATATATTTATAATATACACAAACAGACACACTATATTTTTGCAACTGTTTCATATAAGATGATTGCTGCCTACAAACTCAGTGTTAGATACCACAGGCCATAGTCATAGCTATGCAAACATAGTCGTAGGTATCAAATCATCAATACATTAGACTTGTTTTGAGAACCGCCCATGCTGATATCTATAATTATGGTTGTGTAATATACAGTACATGCGTTGGAGAAAACTGTGTTAGCTGTTGATTTGTGTGACGGTGGCTCCCTTTTGATATTTAGGCATTTGATTTTAATATGAAAATAATAAAATAATGACAACCAGGAATTTTGCATAAGCTCCCACGGGACTTTTTCCTAGGGTCATTATCCTGAAGGAATATCTGCAGCAGTCCGGCACAAAAATAGATCTTCAGGTGGAATTACTCTCGTGATGGTGAGCATAATGATGGTGAGAACATTTCAGTTAAAATTACCACCAATGATACATAAAAAGGAGCATATACAAATCTAATGAAGCTTTGGAGATACGAGATCATTTTCACATGAAAGCTTTGATGTAGGGCACTATTTTGTGGATGCCAGAAGAAAGCTCTGTTTATCCCCACTTCTACAGTCAAAGTGGCTTTCAGTAAGCACAGGCTTGTAAAACTAGAACAAACACAAAATGATTCTTAACTCACACGCGACGCGAATAGCCGGCACTAGTAGCAGGTGGCATGCTGTGAAGAAGGCGTCTCAGTGGTACTGCTGCAGCCTCAACCTTCTAAAGTTGTGATTCTGATTTCTGTCCCAACGAGGCTTTCACATGTTCTTCCAGTCCAATAGTTCTGTCATTTTCCTTCCATGATTCAAAGAGGGCAAATTAGGAGAGCTAGTGTTTCTTTGCCTGGTTTCCAGTGCTCTCTAGGATAGGCTCTAGGGTCACCACAGTCCTGCATTGAAAGTGGCTATGGATGGAGGGAAGGAAGAATAGATGGAGGGATGGATGGATAGATGGACCATAAGACAGGGTACCAACTGCTGGTCTGAAGTTAAGCTGGAACCACCCTGTAATGCTGATTTGCGTTCTTGCAAATGCTAAAGCTCGGCCTTCATGACATGTCAGGAAAATAATGCACGTTAACTATTAGGGCCCCTGTTACTGTGTGTATGCCAGTGTCGGCACGTCCTCAAATGAAGAAAATTAGCCAATCAGGGAGGTGATGGCAGCGCTGCCTGTGAACCCTATTCTGAAAGGTTCAGAAGAAAGACGTATCTATAAAACACACCTAAAGTTTGCATTGTTTAGTGGCGGTGCTGCTCCTTATCACGTGGTTCATGCGCTATGAGCAAAAAGCAGCCTGTCCTGACAAAAAGGACACTGTTCTGAACAAGTAATCTCCTAACATTACAAATGTAGCTACTCGGGCATTTGTCTTTGCAGAGTACAGAAAGAGCATATTAAAAGGAACAGTGGCAAAATCCATCCAACTGTAAGATATGGGAGACATTGCTCATTAATTTCCCTTTCTTCATCTCAATAGCTCAATAAGGATAATGCCTCTTTTATCAAACATTTACAGCCATCAGACTCTTGTTCAAGTTTGACCCTGCTGCTTTGTAAGTGAGAAAAATTAAACCGCCTCATCAAACACGATCAATGATAGGCCCCATGTAAGACATCCATTGCTTCAGTGAGGATATCAATGCAGCCTTACTGTAAATTAATGACAGTTACTTCAAATCCCAGATAAGGGCTTTTTTTTTGCATACTTGCAACCTCTGTCTCCTTTCCACCGTATGTTAATTAAAGATTAAGCTTTTCGGTGATTCTTTTTTGCCAGGCTTAGAAAAAGGAGGAGGATTGATGTCTATGTGGGCAAGTCCTAATTAGCTGCCATTAGACAAGAAATGACTCAAACGAGTCTCAGCCAGCCTTAAAGGTTGTTCAAGATTTCCTTTCAAAAATAATATACTGCTAGCTAATCTACAGGCTCCTGCAAGTGTCGAAATGGGAGCCGTTTCTTCTGGACGCTTCATGTGTGTATGTACCGCAGCCTATGTATAAATAAAAATTTGGGGCAACAGTTAGAGAAGTAATTACAGTCAAGGTGAGGAACAATATCAGTAGGCTACTCAACTTGGTAAAAAAAACTGCAAGTTTTAGCTCAACATCTACAGGTAAAATAAAAAAAAAATAATAATAAGTGGAGTGTTTCTTTTTAGGTAGTGGTGAGTAGAGGCAAAGAAGACAGAAAGTACTGCTGCTCTCTTCAGTGCGACAAATTCTTGAAGAATTTCTCCCTGCTATATTTATAAAAATTGGATAAATGCCTAAATGTAAAGGAAAAATGGGAGCCAGGGTACATTTCACTGCATTCATGTGGATTTTAAAGAGAATGTGTTCTTCATGCTGTTATCTTGGAATAGAGGTAGACAGGCAATATTTATTCTAAAGTGTACTCTAAACTCAGATGGGCTTTAAAAGTTTAACCACCAAGATAAACTGAAGAAAATACACAAGGATGCAGAGTACACAAAAGACTGTCTGGAGCTTGCATGTATATAATAACTTCTTATTAAGGCACTTACCAACAAGGTACCCCATGAGTGGCTGCAGCACCAGTAGTTTCCATAGCAACATCATCTTCATTGTCTGTGTTCAAAGTGGTCTCACATCCAATCAGGAGACTATGAAATCCTGTTTGCACGTCCTTAAACCCTTTCGTCTGAAGAGAAAAGGTGGAAAAGATCCCATGAGGCCTGAAGTCATTCATTTTTTAATTTAGAAGGGCAAAACTCATCAGCCAAGACTCACACACTGCGTGTTTTCCTGCAATGGAGAGTGTGAGACACTACGTCTAATAATAATTCAGGGAAATTGTTTTCACTCACAGTGCATGTTAATAAATGAATACGTCATGACCAGAAAAAAACATTAAAGTTGACAAACTCTAAAACCTGATCCATATTATGTTAGTTATCAAGGATTTTGCACATTTCACATATGTACTCCTGGTGTAAGGCACTCGATCGCATCATAATCACCAATCACTGATCACTGCAGTGACTCGTGTAAACACACACACACACCTGATATGTTTTTCCCTCCTTCACTCAGAGACTTTACCATATAATTAGTGCTCAAACTCCAAAGACTCGTTTGGCTCATCTGGACAGTAATTTCCTTAGTGCTCCAGGTCACATACCGAGTAGTGAAGGGGTGAAAATCGATGTAATTCTGAAGTAACATCCTTAAGCATTGCTTTTAAAATACTGACTTATTGTTTGCCCTGTGGACCCAGACAGTTCAATAATAGAATATGGGTGCTTCTATTGATGGCAGCCTGCTTACAACAAAAAATATGACAAAAGTTATTTATGTTATTGTGTTTTAATTACTTCGCTAACACTAACTTCGGATGTCATGGTAACTCAGAGACTAGTTCTGCTTGTGGTTTTGAATTCTGCTTATCCTGTCTGTGTGTATCTAGTCATGAATACTGTATATTACATACTGTAGCAGGGACCAAACGTCATGTCTGAGCATGAGTGTTTGCATGCTCTCCCTATACTGTGTGCAGTTAGTCTAACTAGCATCTTAGAATTACCCATAGTGTGTATGCGTGCATGTGACCACAATGAGGAAAAGACATCACAGCCCACATGTACCCCAGCCTTGTTCCAGGGTACCCGCGGTCATGGAAAAATTGGAAAAGTTTTGGAATTTTGAAATATTTTTTCCATGCCCTGGATAAGCTTTGGAATTCTTGGATAGAGAGGAAAAGTTTTGGAAACTAGCCTTGTTCATTTTTGTTTCCCGCTGCGTTCCGCAACGCGCTAACGGAAATGTACGAGCGGAAGTCAATACTTAACTACCTTGGTAAACAAAACAAAAAAAACCTTGTTAAATATCAGTTTCCGGCACTTTTACCGCGCAGATTTCGCGTATTTGAGATCGCTGCTTTTTTGCTCGCGATTCCGGTTTTTATTGTTTTGTTTAGTTATTTGCACGCATTTGAATTCTTTGATCACAGTTTCCTGTTTTTGACTCCGTTTGCCTCTACCAATCATAAGGCAAGTATAATTATTTTACTATTGGGATTAATTTTCTTAATAATTCAACACTGTTTGCACATTGGCGAAAGTTGTCCACCATCTGTGTTAATTTGTTAAGCAGATTGGCTATTACCGTACCGAAAATTATTTTTCCTTATACAAATACTGTTCTAGCTACTTTAGTTTTAGAAACTTGTGGGTTCTGGAAAATTTTCTTATGGTACAGGAAAAGTTTTGGAAAAGTCATGGAAATTTATTCTGCCAGAATTGGCGGAACCTTGTTGTTCCCTTTGAGACTGGCATAGACAGGTAGGTGTCAGGGAGAGCGAGGCTGGCATGGTCAGGCAAATATGTGCAGTGGAGCTGCAACAGGAAAACAAAGGAACTTTTTCTGTACGGTTTTGTACAAATGTGTCTTATGATGGAACATACTTGGTGCAAGTAACAGGGTGGTAATGACAAATGTTGTATTAAAAACAAAAATAAACAAAAACAAATAAATATTTTCAAATATTTCACTATCCACTTTAGAGCTATTTGCTCATAATATACGATTCCAGAAAATTTTTAACTAGTACAGTGATCCCCCGCTATATCGCGGATTATTCCTGGACGCATCACAATACATTACATATTATTATTATTATGTTTATATGTTACTCATATCCTTAGCCCGACATCCACATATCATATGTGTTTACAAAGTGTGTTTTAATAAGTTTACATGTTTTTAAAGCTTTAAGGCTTAAACTATATTAAAAAGATGTTTATTTATACGTACGTCTTTCTATATCGCGGATTTTCACCTATCGCTGATGTGTTTGGAACGTAACCTGCCATAGGCTGCATGGGATTACTGTATTGAAATGTGGTTATGACTGAAAAGTAAAATTAAAGCATTGAATTAAAACCGAAACCCGGTTCGCGCATGTGATATATTGAACACAAAATCTGATATGTAAATGAACAATTGAAATGTTTTATTCCAAATAAATTCTGAAATGAACAGCTGCAGTGAAATCTAACCCCTAATAGCATAATGTGGCATATTCATGAATTCAGTAACATCATGCAGAAATAAAGTGATTTGTATCAAAAATATGCATATTAAAGCCCACAACTGCTCATTATAACCACTTGTGTATGAACTTCATAACCTGAAAAACTGTTTCATTTTTTCAGTCACAAAAGAATTAAATACCAAACTCCACGTTGAAAGCTGAATACACGTTGAAAGCTGTTTTTCTCATTTAATATGATCGTACATCGTTTTTGGACACTTTGAAATTTGTCACACCTTTGAAGAAATCACTTTTATCAGCTGGTAGAACATGTGCGGAACTGGGTGATCTAAACACACTTAAGGAAAAGACTATATGCTATAACAGAGCTGTCTGACAGCAGATTGTGAATATGATTGTTTTTTGGATGCTCTTATGTTGCACTTACTGGCCATTGAGCAGTCCTATTAGGTTCTCACTTTGTTAATATGTATATGTGTAGCTGTGTATCTCGTTATATCATAAAACATAAGCGTTATATTTAATCAAGATTGATAAATCTCTGAACTAAAGTGAATTTCAAGGCAATTCCCCCAGATGAATGGTGCATTTCTTGTTGGACAGCCATCCAATCACGCAGCAGAAGCACCCCCTGCTGAGTCACTGTGGAGACCCCTCGCACTCCCACTTGACACCTGCACATTTCACGCTCCATTCACATGCGCCAACATCCTGCCTTGACTTCCTGCTGTTTTTCCCCATGGTTCTGTCCACTACCTGCTCCGTAAAACACACAGGAAATGCTCTTCAGCAGCAGATTGCTCCGGGGCTGAGTGCATCATGGGAACTACAGGATTTCTCAGAGAAAATTAAACAAAAAAAAAAAGGATAACAGCCAGTGCTCCTCTGATCTGCCAGGCACCACAGAGCCTTGCATCTCCTCCGCGAGGAAACGCGGTGGGCCGCCTCTTGTTAGGGAGAAGGGATCCAGCTGGGACTAATTGGGGAGAGGATCCCTGGCAGCATGTTGTGAGTGGGACAGGTGACATTCTGCTGCAACTGATCACAGAATCGGGCACTTTTTTCTGTTTTTGCTTTTTTTTTGTTTGTTCTGTAACGTGGAGTTAGATTAAAACAAGGTACAGGGTGAACTACAAAACATTAACGTCACAAAGCTTCAAAATGATGTGCAGGGAAAACAAACAAAGCCACACAGAGCTAGTCATGACAACCAGACAAAGCGGAAGATTCAAATAAAAACGTACCGTGTATCATCTTTCACCCTGGTCCTGTGACGTGAATGCATCAGCCTTTACATACTAATTAAATTCTTTCCTTTTCCAAGTGTGAGAGGGGCTAAACACAGACTGACCACATATTTAACGGGTTTTAGGTGAAAATATTGGATGATCTATAACCCCCCTCAGATAAAAGGACACTCTACAGAATTTTAACTTTTCGGAATTTATTTTTTTTTTTTCTTGGTTGCATGTCCACAATCTGCCAACTGCAGAAATAGCCTATTGTCGACCAAAAACAAAGCAGAGAAAATAATTAATCTTAGACTGTAGAAGGCATGTTTTGGTCGGTGCAAAGATCATGCATGAAATAAAGGGGGGTAATAAGGAAAGAAGGCGATTCCAAAATTTAGCAACTTACAACAAACAAAATTAACAAAATAATAAAAAAAAAAGTGGCCAATAATGTAATTACATGCATTTAAAATAAGAAATAATAATAATACATAAATGGATCTAGGAGAATTGCCTAGTAGCCGTTTGAATGGCCCTTGCTGAACTGGCTAACTGGTTGGGAGCTGTGAGCCACAGGCACCATGCAGCTGGGCGTGCAGACAGCAGAAATACAAGGGACTGCGTGCGGAATGGGGAGCGGCATGCAAGGCAACATGGCTGCAGACAGCAGAAATACAAGGGACTGCGCGTGGAATGGGGAGCGGCATGCAAGGCAACATGGCTGCAGACAGCAGGAATACAAGGGACTGCGTGCGGAATGGGGAGCGGCATGCAAGGCAACATGGCTGCAGACAGCAGAAATACAAGGGACTGCGTGCGGAATGGGGAGCGGCATGCAAGGCAACATGGCTGCAGACAGCAGGAATACAAGGTTGTTGTGTGTTTTTGTATGATAATTTGTGAAATATTTTCAGATTTTTTAAATCTAAGACTTTGACCTGTGCAATGTGTGAATTCTTTTTGATTTGAAAACCAGTTCAACCATTTCACTGAAAAGAACCAATTCAAAAGAACAATTCGTTCATGAATTGGACATCACTATCATTCACTTGGATAGCTGTCTGCGGGTAGTGTTTCTCGCTTTGACCATATCGCATTGTAGCTTGCGTACTGTTTTTATCTCTTGGGACGACATCACCCAAGTGTGTGTACAAACGGAACAAGGCAGAAGCAGCCACTCTGTGGCACTTAAGATGCTTTTGCCAGGAAATTCAGACCTAAACAAAACAATTAGGCATAGATATGCGACCTTAGTTGGTAGTAGAGAAAACAGAAGCTAGTTCATTATATTGTGGCACTGGGCAGACTGAGGCATTGTGATGGCGACTGCCAACAAACACGAGGAGGCACAGAATGGTAGGCTCAGTCTAGGCCTGTCACGATAACAAATTTTGCTGGACGATAAATTGTCCAAGA